AAAGAAGGATCGTCATTTTAATAAAATAAATGTTGCATTGAAAAATTTAATAATGATTTATAATGAAAAAAAAAATGACTAACATGTTTGTACATATAAATATTTATATACATTTAATGGAAAATAAATAGTTTTTGAAATATAAATAATATATAGGTAATATATATATATTTAATATATAATCCCATTTTTAAAAAAAAATGTTTTAAATTTTTTTATTTCTTGAACATCCATAAAAAAAAAATAAAAAAAAAATAAAAATTTTTGATTGAATTCTTTTTTTTGAAATGAATAGAAAGAATTTAATAAAATTACCATTGAAAAAATAAAATTAAAAAATAAGATTTTTAAATTAAAATTCAATTTAGGAATTAATTCTGCTAAATATAGAAACAAAAAACATAAAATGAATATCTTTACTAAATAAGTTGTTTTGTTGAAAGAGGTTATGAAGATTTGTTGAAATAAAAAAAAAAAAAGATGATAAAGAAAAAAAAAAAAAAAAATTTTATAAGCATGATATAAAAATCTGGAGTTCATTTTTTAAAAGATTTTTTTTATGATTGAAATCAATAAAAATATTATATTATTTGAAAACAAAAGGTTATAATAAAGTGGAATTGATATCAAAAAATTGATTTCAAAAAAAAAAATTTTTAATTAAATTTAATTTTTTATTGAAAAAATGAAAAAAAAAAAAAAAAAAAAAGAATGATTGGAATTGAAAAAAGTGAAGATTATAAAAAAATTTAAAAATATCCTTTAGAATGAAAAATAATAGGATGAAAAAATGATAATATAGAAAATTTAAAAATAACAAAATGAAATGAATGTTAATAAAAGATAGAAATTTTATGAAAATGAAAAGAGAAAGAAAATATGAAATAATTTAAGAATGAATTGAACAATTCAGAAAATTTTTAATTTAAAATAAAAAGAATTTTTCAATTTTTAACCAAAAAGAATAAATTTTTATAAAGTTGATATATACAATATGAAAAAATATATGAAAAAATTAAAAAAAAATTTGAAAAAAATTTAAGAAAAAAATGAAAAAAAATTTAAAAAAAAATAAAAAAAATTTAGAAAATGAAAAAATATAAAAAAATTTATTCGAAAATGGAATATAAAAAAAAGAAATTAGAAAAAAAAAAAAAAAAAAGAAAATAATTTTAAATAAAAGAAATAATAGACAAATGTGAAATATATTTTTTAAACGTACAAAACTTGGTTAATCTCCAAAGAAAAAAAAGAAAAAAAAGTTTTTTTTTATGGCATAAAATTGGTTAAAAGAACTTAACAACTAATTAAATATAATACAAAAAAGTAAAAAAAAATTAAATAAAAATTATCTTGAAAAGAAAGAAAAAAAGAAATTGAAAGAAAAATTGACAACTATTAAAAAATATATAAAAATAAAATCGAAACTGGAATTATTATCAAAAAAAAAAAACAAAAAAAAACGAATGAAAGAAAAAATAAAAAACTGTTTAACAACTCTAAACAAAGAATTTAAAAATGTCCTGTGAAACTAAAATTTTCAATAAAAAATAAAATGAAAATAAATATATAGTTAAGGTTAAATAAAGAAATAATAGAAAAAATAGACATTTTGTTGTGGAATATTAAGGAAAAAGTATGGAACTGGAAAAAAAAAAAAAAAAAACTTAAAGAAAGAAAGATTTTAAAAAGAAAGAAAAAAGAAAAGAATAGACATATAATCAAAATATAGAAAAGAAAATAAAAATTTTCAAAGAAATAAAAAAAAAGAAATTTTTGACTTTCAAAAAGAAAAAAAGAAATAAAGATTATCTTTTAAAATAGAAAAATTAATTTTTTAAAAAAATTGAAAAGAAAAAAAAAAAAATAAAAAAAAAAATTAAAAAAAAGAAAGAAAGAAAAAAGAAAGAAAGAAAAATTTTAAAAATCTTTTAAAAAGTTCGCTAAATAATTTTAAACCTTTCTTATAAGGAAAAATGGAAAATACAAATGCAAAAGAAAAAAAAATGTCTTCAAAGAAAAGATGTTTTTTTTTTTTTGTTTTGAAAAAAAGAAAAAAGAAAAATTTAAAAGAAAAAAAAAATAAAAAGATTAAAATTTTTGATGGAATAATTGAATAGGTAAAAAAACTGGAAAAAAATTGAAAAAAGAAAGAAAAAAAAGAAAAGAATAGATAACAGATTAATTTATAAAGATTGTTTGTATTTAAACTGGAAAAAGAAAAGAAAAAAGAAAAAAAAGAAAAAAAAGAAAGAATCTGTTAGTTATCAAATAAAAATTTATATACAATAAAATTTATAACATTAAATATAATTCAATAAAATGAATGAACAAAATTATTTTTTTTGAAAGAATAAATAGAATAAAAAAGAAAGAAAAAAAAAAAAAAAAAAGCCAAAAAAAAAAAATAGAGAATTTAAATATATAAGAGAAGGAGAAAAAATTGGAAAAAAAAAGAAAGAAAAAAAAAAAAAAAAAAAAAAAAATAAAAGAAAGAAAA